GACGCGATAATTTCTAAATATCACTAGTTTTGAAGGGCATTTTAATATTAAGAAATAATTTTTTTATTAAAACATAATCAATTTGGTTGTTTATTATTTGGATTGATTGTGAAACAGATCACTGAATTTAGAGAGTATTTGGATCCCACTGCGAAAAAGTTCGTCTTACTACGGTAAGACCATTTATTTTTCCAATTTTATGAAGAAAATAAGAAAATTACGTATGAAGAAAGCTAAACTGTAATGGAAATTTTCATGCTTGTTATCTATGTAGGAAGTTTTTCCACTCATGCAAGGACAAATTGGAAGGTATGCATACACATTTGAGACAAATACTGGCAATTCACTGGAAATCATTATAGAATATATTGGATTTTTATTTTGGGAAAAAATTGTCCGAAAGAATTCAGTAAGAACGGCCTTATAAATCATCTCTAATACATATCGTTTACGGCATTTGCCATAGCGTGTGTGATAAATCCAATTAAAATAACTTTTTCATGGGCTGTACGCTATTCAATCGTTGATTATTCATTTATCGGAAAGGGAATTTAATCAACAATTGTTTCTATTTACAGATAAATGCCTGATGATGAAGCGCGATGACCCCCGAAACGATGCATAAATAAATGAACAACAATTCAATTGCGTACAGCCCATGACAAAATCGTTTTGGGCCAATTATCATTATATATCGTTATGGAAAAAAGGATTTTGACTAAAAATTGGTTAGTCATTATTTTTCCTGCATTTATTAAATTTGGTGACATTCAATCCTAGTCTTTTTCCTGAATAAGACCAAACACAAAATTTAAACATGCAATGAGAAGTCACCAAGGCTGCCCGTTTGCATTGCTTGGCAGCAAGCATATTTAAGGTACAGCGTAATATGCCGACCTATCGAATGGCTGGAAGTCACGCTCCTGTGGATTTAATTTTAACAATCAAAAGAATGGATAATGAATATCCATTTTTTAAGTCAACATTTTTTCTAACTCATAAGTGAGCTATAGCCCATGGTGTGGCTTGAAAAGTTATTTCATGAATACTTCTTCATATATCTCAAACTTTAGCGGAATTCTGGCCATCGGCAGATAATAATGGGTTAATGGCCATTCTTTTGCTTCGCTTCATCACATCCACATGCAACTTACTCATTAAATGAGTGGAGATATTTTTATGAATATATATTTCAGTAATATTTTAATGTTTGTTCTATACACTTGTAGAGTAGGAAATTGGTGTGGTCTCCAATTATGGTGTTCACCTGTTCAAGATGATAATGATGATGACACCATGAGCGTGACACAAAATGTGTTGCATGATTATTTATTTAATCATCACATTTAAGTAGAAATAATAAATTTCCAGGATTTATATATAATTATTTGTTAAATTGTAGGATTTGAAGAAAAAAAAATTAATTTCACGCGATTGACGGGCTATTTAAACTGGAGTGTTCAATGGGAATGTATTTAGTAAGAGGTGAACTTGTGCACTGAGCATTTTTCAAGACGAATCGTCTTTGGTCAAAACCAACAAAAAACAAACATAAATTCTTTGTGACTTCGAATGAGGTTTTGATTTGTGTCGGTCAAAAAAAAAGGAAGAAAAGAACACCTATATCATTTCGATATAATAAAAACCAATAAAATTTAATCAAACATAAAATGACGGGTAAATTCACTACACTCGAACTGAATCGCAAGTGGATGTTTCGCGTTAGTCTCCTCTCCGATCGTTTGACCGAACCAACCAATGAGTTTCTAGCATCGATAAAAACGTACTATTTTTCAGCGGCAATAGTCACAATCTTCGTTTCGTGCGCAATATACTATGCGCATGATGCATCTAGTGAATATGAAGATATAATGAACTTTTGCTATGTTACTGTGGGTTGTCTTCAATGGCTTGGAATGTATTTCAGTGTTGGACTGAATATGAAGAAGATGAAGAGGTTGGTGCTAAAACTACAGGAAACTGTGGACGAAGGTTAGGATTCAAGTATGCTTCCAAAAGAATTCACTAATCGTACGCAAATTCCATTCCAATAACTTCTTACTTTTAGACAATGGCATCGAAGTGTCCGATATTTATTGGAATGCCGAATCGCAGTGCCGTAAATACACCAAAAATATCATTTATTTTGTTCTTATCCGCCAAGTGTTATACATTACGCTCTACTGTACCAGTTCCATCGTCTATATTTTAATTGGAAAAACTGATACGTCTGCATGGAGTTTTCCAATGGAAATGGCATTTCCATTTCCTTTGGAACCAATTTGGGGCTATTATTTAGCATTGTTCATCGAAATGAATTGCATTTTTGCCTACGACTTGGTATTTGTTTTATTACCATCGTTTTTTTGCTGCTGTTGCCTTTATATCGTTGCGATTTGTCACCATTTCGTATTTTTAACTCAATCCATTCATGACGATAACGAGCTCATATTGAAGGCGAAAAGGTCAGGTGAAGCAGTGAAAATTCAACAAAGATTCATTAAAAAATTCATCAAGTCGATTAAGATGCATCTTCGAGCCGTAGAGTAAGTTGATTCAGACAATCTTTCGTAATGAATTTGTTTTTTTTTCTGTGTCGAAGAAATTCACAATTGTTTTTAATGTTATTAGGGTTTTCGACTTGGCCAGTGACATAAATACCGGCGCAATATTCTTTTTTTTGCCTACCAATTGTATATACATCGCTTTTGGAGCTTTTAACATCGAACATGTAATGATTTTCGCATTAACCTTGGATTTTCATAAAAATGAACGATTCAAATATGCTTTTTTTTTTAATTTTCTTCAGTCGGATCTTGTCCTTTCGACAATGTTTTCTCACTTTGCACATCTGACTGCACCGCTGATGTGGTGTTCAATATATTGCTATTTTGCAAACTCTGCAACGGACAACATGGGCTCGGTCGGTAATGTTGCTTTTGAATCAAATTGGTACTATTATCCACTGAATCAACAGAAATGGTTGATCCCGATCATCAATCGTTCACAAACGCCATCAAAGTTCAATGGATTTGGAATGGTTTACTGCACTTTGGAAGTTTTTGGGAATGTGAGTCCGTTTTTAGTATGCGACGAATCAGGAATCATATGTATTATAATTACTCCATTGTTCTATAGCAATCCTAATATGATTTTTTTTTTCTACAGCTGTTGAAATCATCTTGCTCCTACTATTTGCTTTTTAGAGAATTGGCTAATCGTTAAAATTTAGCATTCCAAATTTCTACTGATTTATGGTGCTGGATAACTTTTTTTTGTGGCTAAGTACAGGACATATATGAGTAGTTTGGAGCGAAAATGTTATACAGAAAAGTTGAGAGGAAAAATGTCAAATGAAAAGAGATAGCTATATAGTTCACTATAGTTTACTATACAGTTTACTATATAGCTATCACTTTTCCGCCCATTCATCATCGACATTTTTCCGCTCAACTTTTTTGTATAACATTTTCGCTCCAAACTACTCATATGTGCTGCTGTGAATATTCGTTGTTAAATGTGAATGTTGAAAACGTTTTATGCAAAAGTGACACTTCAAAATAATTTTTTCGAGGATTTTAAACCGTGATTACAACAAAAGCCCTGTTCCACTTTTTTCGATTCAATCTCACTGCCAGAGATGAATTCTCAATGCAAACATTTATTTTCACGTAATTTTCATTGGAAAGAGTGGCCAAATAGTCAAAAATTCACAGAAATTGTATTGCCTCTTTGACCAGTTCTTCAATCATAGAAAAAACACAGACAAACTCATTTTTTTCACAAAAATTCATTCAATGGGTTTGAAATAGACGAAAAATTATCTAAATCTACTAAAATATCCAATCGAACAAAACCAGGAAGGCCAAATTGCAGCAAAACCAAAACGTAAACAAAAACGAGCTGTCATTATGAAATTCGGGCTTAGTTTGATGTTTGACAAGACCAAAATACATCTGCGCGAATCACTGTGTGCGAATTGACTGTGATTCATTCGCACAAGTGCATTGGTGGCCCTTCAAAATGTCAAAGAAGCCCAGATTTCATGTGGACAGCTCGTTTTTGTTTACGTTTTGGTTTTGCTGCAATTTGGCCTTCCTGGTTTTGTTCGATTGGATATTTTAGTGGATTTAGATAATTTTTCGTCTATTTCAAACCCATTGAACGAATTTTTGTGAAAAAAAATGAGTTTGTCTGTGTTTTCTCTATGATTGAAGAACTGGTCAAAGAGGCAATACAATTTGTGTGAATTTTCGACTATTTGGCCACTTTTCCCAATGAAAATTACGTGAAAATAAATGTTTGCATTGAGAATTCATCTCTGGCAGTGAGATTGAATCGAAAAAAGCGGAAAATATCAGATCAGTTTCAGCGAATAGTGATATAACCTCAAAATTCGACGAACATTTGTTTTGCTTGTGGGAAGTGGCATCTTGGACTGACTTCGAACAAAAATATATGAAATCGATTCCAAATTCTCTGCTCTATCAAACTAAAACTACCATTTTCGGTATATTTAATACCGAAAACACCCTAATGTCCACGCTATCGTTCATGCAATGCGTCACAGTATATCCGACGCTAAAATTGAATTGATTGTTTATCAGATGCACGTTTTAGATTTTTAAGCTGGTGATGCCTACAAAGGTAAAATTACGGTCGCTGTAGATTATAACCACAAGATCGCTTAATAAACGAAGAAAAACGACACGCAGCCCTCTTAGCGAGGGACACTCAAAACAGTCATCGTACATATATTGAGCAGGCCCTATCGATGCGTTCATTTGTGTGAGTGCGATTGTGTAAACGACAATGTTCGTGTTCGATGTGTGTACGATGACAGCTTCGGGCATTCCACGCGTAGAGGCGTTTTGGCGTCTTACGTCAAATCTTTCCCATGTTTTTGTATACGAAGAAAGCGACGCTGGTAACCACTTTGCAAAATTAACTGTGGTTCTAAAAACACTTGAAATGAAACTATTAATTTTATTGTGATTTTATTCAACAAATTGAATGAAGAAATAGAATGCTTTTCTCCATCATATTTGATTTTGTACAACACTTAGTGATAAATTGAGCTTAAAAACGAAGTATCTATTGAGATTTGAAATGATGCTGTTGTCTTATTATTCAAATGTTTAGCTGAACTCTCTGAATTGTCGCAGCAAGAGATAGTATGATATGGATGTTCGAATAAGCTGGAAGAAAAGTTGAAAATTCTTTTACGAAAATACGAAGAAATGTCACAGACAATTACCTTTGAGAATTGTTCCAAGCAGCACGTGAAAAAGTTCAAGCCACGTAAATTGAATGGTGTCTGAGCTTGTCTAATCATAAAAATGAACATTTTCTGCATATTGATCGGTAATTGATACCAATGTGAATGGTAAAAAATCTTAGTCACTTCAAAAGACATAGAGTTTAGCCTTTCAGCCGATTTACAGACAATGTAATTCAATGCAATTTGCAGCAACAAGTCTTGCAAGCCCAATAGGATTTCTGGGCTAAGATCGTGAATACCTTGATCGAGGGTGAGTATTGAGAATGACACCATCACCACAAATATTGCAAAGAGTGCAAAAAGCGATTTACTCAAAATGTTTTGTGTGCTATTGTTGAGCCTAGAAGGAGAAATAATATTTTCTGTGTGTAGATTTGTATGTGAAAACGGTCAACGTTAAGTATATAAAATGGGTTACACGTTGAAAACAAATTTTGAATTGGATTTTTGATTTGATGGACGATATTCATATATTTCATAACTCACATCACAATGCTGTTTTGCAAATCGATAGTCTGCCGCATTGTCATGGCTAAATTTTCGTTCTTTTCCTTCTTATCTAAGTTCGCAACGACTACTTTCAAATCTTGAGTCAACGCATCGCTGTATGTGCATAGTCCGATTATGAGCATAATACACATGACGAATATAATGCAGTAGGTGATATGAATATTTTGAAGGTAAAGCAAAACTGTGTAGAACATAAAATACGTTGGTTTTTCGGGAATTAAACTGGAAACGAGATCAGAAAAAAATTGTTTTGAAAAAAAAAGAAGTTTCCATCATTGTGGAGATCAATACAGTTAAAAATTGGTAATTGAATAATGAGAGTTGAAATGTTTGAATCACCTGTCTGTAGCAGGAAACGGCAATAGCCACCATCTGGGCGATGGGAACTGAAAGAGTGCATAACCAATTGGCGGTAGAGTATACAAGATAAACAGCCCCATCTCCATTTGAAATGTTGCTTTAAGAATGAAACTGCACTGTTTCGAGTTACGTTTTTCAATCTTCTCATATATTTCCACGGATTCAGGCGAATCTTCACATCCTGTAGTGAATGATGTAGTGTCAAAAATTATTGACGATCGTTCAACATTCGAAACTTTTATCATTAATTTGACTGAAAATGACATAATTTATTGTTGATTTATTCACTTACGTTGATCGACAATTCGTTGCAATTCAGTCATGTGATTGATGATGTTTGAGTTTTCCATTGCAAGACCAAGGTAGATAAGAAGGAGTTGAGTTGCGCCTATACATAGATGCATTGCTCCAGCGATTTTATTTAATTTGAATTCCTTCTCAACACAAAACCAAATCACATACGGTACAAACGCAATAAATGGAAGTAAAAACACAATTTGCAACAGAGTTAACGGCAATTCGAGCCAACCGATTCGGACGGGACTCTTTTTACATAACTGCGTCACTCTGAGTAAACGTTGACACTCTTTCAATACCTTTGGCGCTGACATTTTAACCTTTCTCTACTTCAATATTAAGTATACTAACGGACATTTCTTTGTTACATGGCTTTATAAAGCATTTTTAAGCCTATGATGTGAGTGGAAAATATCCGAACTTTCTCACATGTTTCATAAATTGAAAAATAATTTGAAATTGGAAAACCAATTGATCCGGGCTGGAATTCTAAGTCATTCCACCAAAATCGTTCGGAATTATTTTTTTCGTACATAAGACCATATTGGAGTGAAAGAGAGAGATTCCACTAAATTTCTGGATATCACCGGAATTATTCCGATAACTATTACTTTTCCTTGAAAATCTTAATAATTCCGGTGATATCCAGAAAATTAGTGGAATCTCTCTCTTTCACTCCAATATAGGTCTTACGTACAAAAAAAATAATTCCGCACGATTTTGGTGGAATGTCTTAGAGTTCCAGCCCCGTTCTTCTTGAAAGTAAATTATTGGGCCTTATTTCAATTGATTTTACTAATTGTATGCGACATGATGAATGAAATTCATTTAAATTGTTCTAAAAATTCGTCTGTGTGAACTTGATAGCGTTGACCACTTTAGAATCAACCGTAGCAAACATTCTCTATTGCGACACAAACAAAATGATATCCGTACTTCTGAGTGTTGATTCCAGAGGAGGGTGACATCATTTCAACTTTTTTCAAAGTTCTGTTGTCTTTCATTTCATTCAATTATTACATACGCTCGAATGAAAAGCATTCAAATTATTTTAAAAGTCTAGACATTTACTGTACAAAGTCTTCTCTAAGTCTCAATAGATTTTTCATTTTTTCTTCATTACAAATGCGTTTGAATAAATACTCCGTCTAAACGTTTCTTACTTCAAAGAAAATTTATTGTCACTGAAAAAAAATTGTTTCACAAATTTTTATTATCATACATCGGTCTGCTTGTGCTCTAGGTGACGTATCAAAACACATTTTTTTACTATTTACAGTGGCAATGCAAAAAAGATATGCAGATTCGTTTACAAACAACAAAAAATAAACAAAACAAAAATCTCTATGACTAATGTATTGGCAATGTAAAACTAAATGGCGAAAATTTTCGTCTATACACATTTCTTATGGCCTATAATGCTATGTAGTGACACAGTGGCAGACTTGTTGACGAATGTCGGTAAATGAACAAGACAAAAATCTCATTCCTGCGATGAATAGCTGGCTGCCAATACAACAGCCGATGTCTCGTTTATGTACTGCAAATGCGTCAGAACAACACAACGCATGAAAAATATCGGATAAATTTATTTGATATTTGGAATTTATATAAATAAATTTATCTGTAACCAACCTCTGTTTAAAAGGATTTCTCAATGATGTTAGCACGTAAAAAATTGGAAGATTGAAAAAAATACTCCTTTGAATCATCATATTCTGTCATTCTGAAGCGTTGTTGTTCCATTTCCATTTTCATAAGTTTTCTTGCTCCATAAGTACTAATGTCGATGTGGCTGGTTGACACCTTCCATTGGTTGCAAGTGGATTCTTTGCCAGTTTCTCCCTGATTCGTGGAATAAGTTTTGATTTCACCACCAAATATCCGCAGCAAATCACGCATAAAAACAATACCGAATATTTAGTTATGTGCGACTCGGTGTGTGTTACAATGATTTCTTGTTTAGATGGCGTCAAAATGTGTACGCCATTCACCTTTTCCATCTTTTTCGTTGTTTCCTCTGCAGCATTTGGATCGCAGTCGATGCCATTAATATTTGTTTGATTCGTTGGATTGCCAATGACTTTTAAATCTTTCCATTGATGCAGAAATGCCGCTAAATCATGACAGGACAGTTGATTTTTCGATACAGCCAACGTCGAGAGCTTCGGAAAAACAACTGCAGTTATAGTTTTGATCTCTGATAAATTGTTGCCTTCCAAGTACAAATGAGTGAGATCAAGAAAACTGCGAACAAACAGAGTGAAATCAACTTTCTTGAGTTGATTATAAGAAAGATCGAGCGAACGCAATTTGGTTTGATGATAAAATGTGTTGAATCCAAAGTTCGATAGATTTGTGTGGCTCAAATTGAGAAATTGCAAATTGGTGAAACGTTGAAATGTTGTGACGTCCAATTTTCCCACATAGTTGAAGGATACATCCAAATGGATAACGGATGGTGTAATTGCCTGTAGAACTTCATGGATATTTTCGAGATGAGCGTTTGAAATTACAAACGTGTGCAAATTTTTCAATGGTGCAAATATTGCCGTTGGATTATTTATTCTCAAATGATTATTCGAAAGGTCGAGCAATTTTAGAGATTCGCTTTGATGCGAGAATATATTTGGCTCCAAATCGGTCATATTTGAATGCATCAAAATGAGTTGTTCCAACTTGTTGAATCTTTCGATGATGTTGACATTCTGTTCGTTCAATTTGCTTGATCCAATTCCCAATAGTTGTAAGGATGACGGCAGCAGTTCAATTATCTGCGAAATATTTTCGGTTTCACTCTCAGCCATCATAAAATAGGCCAACTTTTTGAAATAGTCATTATTGAAGCGTAACACATTTTTGACTCCCGCCAAACGAATAATAGTTTCATTTATGTTGTCTGGGACTAGGCCAATGGTGCATCCCTTGCAATTCAAATCGATTTGCTCAATTTTGTCCAATGTCATAGTCACGGATGCTAGATTCTTCATCGGTGAAAGGAAATGACAATCGAATACCTTCATTGGATTATTATCAAGGCGCAGCACTTCCAAATTGGTGTTACTTTGAAATAAATTCAATTGAATGTAGGCTATTTTGTTGTAACTTAAGTCCAATACTTTCAGCTTTGTCATTGTTCCAAAATCATCTTCTTGGAAGGATTCCAATTCGTTATGCGAAATGTTAACTATAGCAATCAATGCATTTTCATCAATTTTTCCATAAATTAGCTCGATACCATTATAGGAATAATCCACTTCATACAAGCTCGGTAGACTATTAAAATTAAACAAAGACAATGACTTCATTCTATTGTGCGATGCATTCACCTTGTCCAAATTTTTGAACGATTGAAGACGGTCTAGATTTGAATTGGATGAGATATCCAGTTCACGGATATTCGGAAATTGATCACTCAAACTTTTACTTTGTCCACAATGAGCGGACACTTTCAATAGTTTAACGTTGAGGCGATTTTCCTCTTTTGATTCACTGTTGAACAGATCGGAATAGCATTCACCGTTTCGAATCGAAGTATCTTCATGGAATGGTGCGTAGTCTTCTTCATCAGAATCAATGTCGTAAGCACGATTATAAAACCCGCGTAGGCTAAAATCACTTTTGCAACTTAGTTCCACCGAATCAGTTTTACCATTGATATAACTACAATTCACGATTTTTGAATACGAAAAATCGATTGCGCTCAAGAAGTGCCAAACCAGTATTAAACCAATGCTCCTTTTCATTTTGCGTCCGCTTGCTTCAATTTCTATTGACGAACTGAACAATGATACTTTTGAACATTGACGCATTCGGGAGTATTATCTCAGTTCTTTTCCGCTTTCGTATGTATTTGTCATTTGAATGCGCGCTAGCACAGTCTCCATACAAAATTATCAAAACATTTCGAATTCAAGTTGTTTTGTTTTGCGCTCACGCATTCATTTGTTTTTAGATTGAGTGTATACAAGAAAGAAATGTTTATCTTTTGATAAGACATGGTCCAAACTTCATCCGTTTGCGTTTGGAGAAATAAGCGGAAATATCAGGTCAACTGAAAGGCACTTTGCATTCATCATGTATGATATAAATTGTGTATTCAAAAAATTTATCGCAATCGAACATTTACTCGGCTGAATATTTATTTGCGATGGAAACACAACTCGTGTATTAAATCATAAGGGTCCATGTATTACATCCGCCTTCAATTGAGCTCGTGCAACGCGTATTTTCAACACAAAGTGGTTCGATACAAAACCATTCATTTTTCATTTAATTTAACGACACGGTTTTTTCTATTCCAATTTGGAGCTATTGGGTTCACAAATTCTGGTGGCCTTGTGTCGAATCCAACTCACCGAAATGATAAAATCTTCGACTCATTTCGACAGTTTTTACAAGTATTTCAATGAAAATAATGTCAATTAAGATGCATTTGGTATATGATTTCGTATTGATCACATAAAAATGCATTGATTTCAAAGATGTTGGCATCTAGAAATAAACTGAATACAAAATCAACGACGATGAGGCCGTTGCAAATGCTTAATCTCGCATTGTTTGACCTGCATTCAAACGTAGTAAGTCTAGTTAAGGAATCAAACTGCATTCATTTTATTTCAGCAGCCAATACATTACAATGTTCATATAATTTCATTAGTCAAACTGCCAATTCAATTGATTTTAATAAAATTGTGGATTTAAAAGGATTTCTCAATGATGTTAGCACGTGAAAAATTGGAAGATTGAAAAAATACTCCTTTGAATCGTCATATTCTGTCATTCGGTGCCGTTGTTGTTCCATTTCCATTTTCATAAATTTTCTTGCTCCATAAGTACTAACGTCGATGTGGCTGGTTGACACCTTACATTGGTTGCAAGTGGATTCTTCGCTAGTTCCTCTTTGATTCGTGGAATAATTTTTGATTTCACCACCAAATACCCGAAGCACATCACGCACAAAAACAATACCGAATATTTAGTTATGTGCGACTCGGTGTGTGTTACAATGACTTCGTGTTTAGATGGCGTCAAAATGTGTACGCCATTTGTCAATTCAGTCATTTTTGATGTATTCTCAGCAGCATTTGGATCACAGTCGACGCCATTCATGTGTGCTTGATTCGATGGATTGCCAATTACATGCAAATCTTTCCATTGATGCAGAAATGCCGCTAAATCATGACAGGACAATTGATTTTTCGATACAGCCAATATAGAAAGCTTTGGAAAAACCACTGCAGTTATAGTTTTGATCTCTGATAAATTGTTGCCTTCCAAGTACAAATGAGTGAGATCGAGAAAACTGCGAACAAACAGAGTGAAATCCACTTTCTTGAGTTGATTATAAGAAAGATCGAGCGAACGCAATTTGGTTTGATGATAAAATGTGTTGAATCCAAAGTTCGATAGATTTGTGTGGCTCAAATTGAGAAATTGCAAATTGGTGAAACGTTGAAATGTTTTGACGTCCAATTTTCCCACATAGTTGAAGGATACATCCAAATGGATAACGGATGGTGTAATTGCCTGTAGAACCTCATGGATATTTTCGAGATGAGCGTTTGAAATTACAAACGTGAGCAAATTTTTCAATGGTGCAAATAGAGCCGTTGGATTATTTATTCTCAAATGATTATTCGAAAGGTCGAGCAATTTCAGAGATTCGATTTGATGCGAGAATATGTTTGGCTCCAAATCGGTTATATTTGAATGCATCAATATGAGTTGTTCCAACTTGTTGAATCTTTCGATAATGTTGACATTCTGTTCGTTCAATTTGCTTGATCCAATGCCCAATAGTTGTAAGGATGACGGCAGCAGTTCAATTATCTGCGAAATATTTTCGGTTTCACTCTCAGCCATCATAAAATAGGTCAACTTTTTGAAATAGTCCTTGTTGAAGCGTAACACATTTTTGACTCCCGTCAAACGAATAATAGTGTCATTTATGCTGTCTGGAGCTAGGCCAATGGTGCATCCCTTGCAATTCAAATCGATTTGCTCAATTTTGTCCAATGTCACAGATAACGATGCTAGATTCTTCATCGGTGAAAGCAAATGACAATCGAATACCTTCATTGGATTATTATCAAGGCGCAGCACTTCCAAATTGGTGTTACTTTGAAATAAATTCAATTGAATGTAGGCTATTTTGTTGTAACTTAAGTCCAATACTTTCAGCTTTGTCATTCCTCCAAAAGTAGTTTCCGCCAAGGGTCCCAATTCATTATGAGACAAATTAACTACGGACAATTGTGTGTTTTTGATGATTCCTCCAAAAATTTGCTTAATGTTGTTGTAGGATAGGTCAATTTCGTTCAAATTTGGCACGTAATACATACTCGACAAATCGAAAAATGGTATATAACTGTGTGATGCATTCCATTTCCACAATCCTTTGAACAATTGAAAACGCATAAAGTTTGAATCATATGAGTTATCCAGTTCACGAATATTCTGAAATTGATCACTCAAAAGTTCACTCGGTCCACAATTAGTGGTCGCTTTCAATAGTTTAACGTTGAGGCGATTTTTCTCTTTTGATTCACTGTTGAACAGATCGGAATAGCATTCACCGTTTCGAATCGAAGTATCTTCATGGAATGTTGCGTAGTCTTCTTCATCAGAATCAATGCCGTAAGCACGACGAAGATAAGGGCTAAAGAGGCTAAAATCACTTTTGCAATTTAATTCCACCGAATCAGTTTTACCATCGATAAAAGTACAATTTACGATTTTTGAATACGAAAAATCGATTGCGCTTAAGAAGTGCAAAACCAGTATTAAACCAATGCTCCTTTTCATTTTGCGTCTGCTCGCTTCAAATTCCATTGACAAACTGAATGGTAAATGTAATTTCAATGCGCGAATATCATCTTAGTACTTTTCCACTTTTGTATGCATTTGTTGTTTATTTTTATATTGTGTATTAGAATAAGTTCTTATCTTTTAATAACGTATGGGCCGATTTTCATCCGTTCACGTTCCCGGAAATAAGCGGATACATTATGTCAACTGGAATGCATTATGCATTCTCCATCTATGATATACAATGTATATTGAAACAATGTAATGCAACCTCGAACAGTTGGTACAATGTAACACTAGGCTGAAAATTCAGTGACAATTAAAAACGGCACGTGTCGTCCATGCGAGTGTGTGGTATTAAACCATAGTCCATATTACATCCTCTTTGAATTGGCTCGTGCAACGCGCATTTTCAAAACAAAGTGGTTCGATACGGAACCGTTTATTTTCCGTTTGATTTAACGACATGGTTTTTTTTCCATTCCAACATTTTGGAGCCACTGTAAACTTGTTCACCAATTCTGATTAGCTTTGTACCGAATTAACTCACCGAAATGATCAAATCTTCGACTCATTTGGATTTTTCTCTGAAAATTTCGAAGAAAATTATCTCAATTAAGGTACATTTTATCCCAAGTGAACACAATATGAAACTTCCATGATGGAACAAATTTTGGGCTTTTATCAAAGCCAATTGTGTTCATACATTTTATAGATGCATCCTCTACGGATTTCAGATCAAGCGAAAGAAATAATACCTAATGTTGATTTCAACAATTCAACATACACGACGATTACATATTGAGACATCGATTTCAAAGATGATACTAGCGGTCGTCTCGCAATAGACTGAATACAGCCTGAACAACGATAAGTCTCTGAGTCAGAGACTCTCTGACTCCCATGCATTTGTCGAATAATTCGATGAACACCGCTGAATTTCAAACTTGGCGCACTGTTTAGATTCAATTTCAACACAAATCGATTTGAATTACATTCATGTACTCTCTGGAATGAGGGCATTGGCATCGGCTTAATTTTACTTTCATGACTCAATAGATGATTCGAATTTGCGCACCAGTAAGACAGTGACAATTTGTAAGAGAGCCTGTTAATCATTTTATGAGCAACAAAAATTTCAAAGTGAAGAAAAAAAGTCAAGAATAAATTCCATTAAAAATACAAATAATCGGACGTTGTAGCGATAAGTGGTGACTTTGAGACTTTGTATATATTTTGCTTTCTCGTTTTGTGCTGAGAAATGAAGTCGACGCGATTACTACCGTACTACCCAAATATACACGCACTCTACTCTCAGAATGAACATATTTTATTTCACACAGCATCCGTTTAATGAACGAATCAGCCTACTACAGAACACGAAGCGGGCGCGCGCGCGTCGATATCGCATTTAATCTCGCATTGTTTTATAATAACAACGGCAGTGGGTCAGCGACGGCATGGCAATCATTAAAAATATCAATACAATACAGTTCATTTTTCCAACCGTCAAACCAATGTGTTTAACCTCATCATTCAATAAATGTATTGGTTCTATTAATTAGTGCACGACATCGGTTATCAATTGAATGTTGAAATAGCGCAGTAGTCAGCAGCACAGTTACATTTCAGACTTGAACAAAGTAACAACTTATCGCGCAACCAAATGTGTGGGAATCGTTTGCGCTGGCTTGTGAATACAGTTTTTTTGTGTGTGTGAAATTTTGTCAGCGTAAAACGGAATTGGCTTTTTTCAACGATTGAACCATTTGTTGCTTTACTTTTTGGTTAATATTAAATATTCATTTCTTTTGGTCATTTATTAAATTAGTGTAATTTTATATCCTCGATTCGTCGATTCAAACTTTGCATCGTCATTTATTTTCATTCCCTCCGAAAATGGGAATTTTATGTGAGATTTTGTTTGACAAAAATCCAAAGCGAATTTTCTACACGGGCCAATCATTACACGGATCGATTCGAATAACATTGAAAAATGATAAATATGTTCGTGGAATTTTTGTGAAAATCAATGGTGCCGCAATAACAATTTGCAAAGCGGATAATTTCGGAGAAGATTGTTTGAATGATCGCCTGGAGATAATCGGTGATACACGTTTGGCAGCTGGAACTCATGAATTTCCATTTCAATTTAAAATCCCCACACAACTTCCATCGTCTTATGAAGGTGAATATGGTTTCATTCGATATATGGTGACGGTTTCTGTGGACATTCCGAAAATTCCACGCAAAGAATTTGAAAAACGTATTATCATTCTTCGATTGACGGACTTAAAAGACACAGAGCTGCAGGTAAATTCATGAAAATGTTGAATTTCAAAGGTTTTCAGATCATTTTTTTCTATCAATTAGCGACAAGTGGCTGTGACGGGCAGATTTAATCCATATTTTGTATGTTCTTGTTTGCCTTGGTTTCCGCTTAAAATTGATGCTTACATCGATCACACGGCATATGCTCCCGGTTCAAATATTGAACTCGAAATCAATGTCACCAACAGAAGTTTCTGCAAAATACACGGCTTTGAAGCGCAATTAATCAAGGTAAGGTGTTGCATTCAAAGTTGTTTTTACTTGGTTCATTTCATACTATGAAGTTCACGCGCAATGAACAAGAATTGAAAATGACATTTTCTTTTGTAGGAAGTGACTTATGTGCCTGTCCTTCAGTCAATTGAAATATTGAAAGAAGTTAAACTGCGCGGATGCCTTCAGAATCACAAATATACCGTTTGTTTTGGGTGCTTTATTGAAGTGCCACCAACATCTGCCACCAATTTAATTAGTAAAGTTATCAAAATTCGACATTTCATTCGGGTATTTTGAGCTTTTTTTGGAATTTTTTGAGCTAAGATCATTTTCATACTGATTTTTTTCTTCATTTTTTTTACATTCTTGATTTGCATTTGAACAGATAACAGCGTTAATGAGAAAGAAATGCCGCCCGGTCATCGAAGTGCCAGTCACAATTGTTACTGCTTCAGAAAATCAACGTTAATTGCAAATTAATTCTTTTTAAATCAAAATAAAAGGCGGCTGAATGAAAATAAAATGATGACGTTTGTTCATCTGTTAATAACAGATTCGTTTATTCAAATTTTTTGGTTTGAACAACAAACACTTCGTGAGTTTGTATCGCCTTGCGGCTGAATCTTTTGTTTTGTTTATTTGACTTGATTCAGTTTTTTTTATTTATCTTTACTTATTCTTCTTTTTCTTCCTTTCCCTCTCTTCGTACTTTTTCTTTTTTACCAGAAATCTTGAAAACACTCACTCAGGCTGAGTTCTGTTTGAAATGTCAATGAATCCCACTTTTTTCGTTTTAGCCACCAGTGAATCATTTTCAAGCTCTACGATAAAAACAGTTGATAACGAGTAAACAAATGAGTATTGCGATTCAACTCATATATAAAAACATTTGAAGTTCTAGAATATGCCATAATCTTACCCTATAGATAACGATTCACAAACAAAGTGAACTGGCTTGCTGTTTCGAATACTAAACTACTCGTTTGATTTACTGTACTACTAGCTCGTGGTTCTGTGGTGAAAATAAGTATTGAACTTGGGCTATTCGCCGAGAGATGCGTCTAAAATCGGTTGATCGATTGCGAGAGAAGAGTTGAGGAAGGTACTAAGGATTTTTGGAAATAAATTACGGCCAACAAATCTATGGATTAGATTGAGAGTATGTGTTTCACAGACTTTGTATTGGAAAGAGTAGAGGATATTTTCAAGTTTTGAGTAAATCTTGAAAAAAAAATTATTTATTCTAACAGATATGTGCGATAACTGTCGCTGAAATGAGTACCTTGACAATAATTGAACAGGATCTAGACTTGATTTAAAATCTCTAAACCAAAAGGATGCCAAATGATATTACAAAAAGTGAGAGAGTTGATGAGAAATTTTCTTTATTTCTTAAAGCAATTTGAACATTAGATTTGGAGCATTTTTGGCTGGTAACTTGAAATAGGAACAATGGTAACTGGTAGCTCAAGCATCGGTTTATAATTCTTGCCCATTGACGCTGTTACCTGTTAAAGGGAGAAAATTAACGAAATGCGTATCAAATGAGATAGAAAACTTCGTTAAAATGAATGAAATAGCTTTCATTGTCAGAGGTTATCTCGTAGCTGCGCAACAGGTCCACTCTGTGGTCACGTTTAACGTTTACTTTGCCCTGTTTTTATTCTTTACAACAACAAATCACACACATTCTGTGTAGTTCGGTACACTGTACACAGAAATTCCAGATGGCTCCAGCTGTATTAAATCGCTAGTTGCGCAGCTACGGGTTATCTCATGAATTCTATAAATAAATCGGTTACATACCCGAATAAAATGACGAACTTTAATAATGACACTGGAATTATCTGAAGGCGACGTTTGCGGAACAATAACTTGACAGCCCAAACAGATGGGGTACTTTTGATTTTGACCACACCCACGTATTTCGGTTTCACACAGAATTAAAATCGATTTCGTCTTACGCGTGTGATCGTACGAGAAATATGTCACTTCCTGGGTAAATAAGAATGAAATAACTATGAAAAATGCAACGAATTCGAGATAAACACATAAATAGAATGAATAAGACGAGAAAAGTCCCTAAATGGAAGTGCCAATTTATTAATTAATGGAACCTTGATCAGCTGCACAATGAAATTCCGTATGCTCCGAAAGCTTTTATTGGTGACATTGACACCCACATCAATAAACATTCCCGGTGCATATGTTCCCGGTTCAACATGCGCATCTATTTTCACTGGAAACCAAGGTAGCCACGACAACACGAAGTATGGATTGAACCCATCACTCACTGACACTTTCCGCTGAGAAAAAAAAATAATTCAAAAACAAAATTCTTGATTGGGTGATTGATCCAAGAATACCTGTAAGTCTGCGTCATTCAAGTTGATCGTCCTAAGAATTGTCACTTATTCTTCCAGCACTTTGCTCGGCTCGAATGGAATTTCTATTAAAACTGTAACCATGTACCGAATGAAACCAAATTCCCCTTCGAATGATGATGGCAATTGTGCCGGTAACAGAAATTGAAATGGAAGTTTATATTTTCGAACAACTAAACGCGATTCTCCTTGAAAATGCATTTTATTTGTTAATTTTTTAATTATTCAAAACAACGCTAAACTTCACAGTGTTCAGTGTTCACACCTATAATACTCGTTTGATGATTCAAGCAATCCTCTGTACACCGGCGAATAGCACGACCGATTTTCCAATTGGCGACTGCTACACCACTGAGTTGAACATGAATGCCATGAACATCTTGTTGATTTTTCATTGCCAAATGAACGTATCCACGTAAAGGTTGACCCAAGTAAAATACTTTGGTGGGATTTCGCACAAACACAATTTCACATGAGATTGACATTTTGTTATTATTTTTGTTCTTTTGATGTTATTCACACCGTATACTTCCGCAAAAACGTCAAAATTTTACACTAACGTTCAATCAACTGTGATAAACTATTTTAACACAGAAAACTCGTGAACTGAATGAAATCATATTTTTGCATTTATTTCTATTTTCATCAAATCAATTTTACTTAGCTGCTTTGTGTATCACTTTTCGAATATGTTTTTATTGATAGTACAAAAAAATACTCATTCATTTTAGTAACGTAGTTGATTTCGCATCAAAAAATTCGATGATGTTTACAGCTCGAATTTATTTATAAGAATAACAGTGCCATGCTGCGCTCGACACTTTTTTAAGCCATGCGAATCGAACTATTTGATGCAATGGCAATGGCAATGAAAATCTCTCTTAATTGATTATGCCACATTTTTGTCAAAGTTTAAAATGAAACTGATATTCTCAGTTCGCTTCGGGACAGTTACTTAATTGATAGAGTAAAAATTCAGCTGATAAATCCAGTTTACAAATAGATTTCATTTTGCAATCGCTGCGGTCGCGTTTAATTAAAATCATTCAGTCAGTTCGTTTCCGTATTGTGATATGAATACCAAAAAAAAATCATAGAGAAGATTTAGATTATTTTCTGAATTAAAACGTCAATTATTATTAATAAATGCCATCAATGGAATCTGTTGTGGAAAAAATTCAAGTAAACTGTTGTATTGAACCTTCATTCAAAACAGAATGAATTCAATTCACCGATTAATTCAAAAGTTAAAACTATTCTACGATTGTTCAAGCATCATTGTTCAAACGCCAAACTGATTTTATGGTAAAACTCCTTTACTTCCCCGCACATAACATATTCAACGCCATATCGTGCGCTGCATTTCAACTTAATTTTTAATTAATAATATTTTATTGGTTTTTCTTTCAAATGTGTACAAATTTCGTGAAGGTTTCCATTTATTTGGTTCAATTTTGTAAATAATAGTTGGTCAAAGCGCGTAGCTAATTGTTTGGAATCAACATTTGGTTTAAAACAAATGTTCTTCCCTTGAACATTTCCATTTATTCATTGACAAATGCATTACTGTATACAGCAGTAATAGAGGTCATGGTTATTACTGCATAGTTTACTGTAGACTCTAAGGCTTTATTTGAATTTCAAATTCACAACTGCTTGGCTATCACAATGTGATGGGAATATTAATAAGGAGAGCAATGACTGAGTGATGATTGTCAATAGGACAATAGGGAAGAGTTGACATTGCTTTTTGCCACTAACTAACTGGTAAGTTAATTCGCATAATTTCCGATCGAAACAATTGAACTTGTCTCATCACACTGCAATACATTTCGATAAAGTTGAAACACAGCAAAGAACGAAACTCTTTTGATCCAAAAAGTTCTAACATCACTCGCTTTTATACCAATATGTTATTATCGAGAGCATCCATGCGTAAATACAAGTTTATTGGCTTTTATTGTAAACTATAACATTTATTGTGCCAATAAAGTTTGGAATACACGGTTGAAATGGTTCAGTGAAGTCGGATAATATAACAATTGCATGAACAAATAACATTCAAGCCAGTATCAATCACCTGGATTTCCGAAATTGGCACAGTCAACAGATGCATGGCTGGTGATTGCTTTTCAGGCGGAAGCCACTTAATGAGTTAATCTATCAAGGTGAATGTGACTTTGTGACTGTCTCTTTTCATTCATTATATTATTCGAAACGGTTCATCCAATAAACACTGGATTTGATATGAATATTCATCAATGATTCTAATCAATTCACCTGGATTTCAATTTCCGCAATCAAAATTACCACAAGCCAGGCATCAACTGCATTTCCGAACTTCAGTTCAGCATTTCTAGGTAGCTGTTTGGGATCGATGGCATTTCAGGAAATGTAATTTAAACTGTCGAATCTGATCACTTTCTTCCACAGGCTTCCGGCAATTGCCAAAATGACTCATTCTATGCAAAGAAGTGAAACATATCGACTACGCGTACCATAACGTTTAGAGAATTACTAAACGTAGTGGTAGGCGTAGTCGTAACGTTTCGCCACTATGATTCAATGGCCATATTGATATGGAATCGAATATTATGTTGTAAAGTAAAAGAGGTGTTGTTTTACAGCCGATACAGATTTGTTGCTATTTGATTAATGCGAATAAGTTTGAAGTTATATTCTGGTTTTCGGCAGTGTTCAAAAACAATAAAAGACATACAAATGGAAATAATTTTTTGAATGTTTATTGTATTCTATTTCGAATAAAAATCGAAAAATTCTAAATAAAGGCATCCATTTCCAACAAGATTCCATTCCATTTCCTTACTTCGAATAGGCTCAATCCAAACGCACGATGACTTCTACGGCTGCGATTACTGTCCCATTAGAAAGTGACCACAAAGCAAGAGATTTTACCATGCCAGATTGCATTATTGGGAACGATAATCCATCTATTTCGAGTGGATAATGTTTGACCCAATAGATTCCTTAAAAATACATCATTTTTATTTTATTCATGAAAAATTGTGAAAAATATCATTTGAAAAAACTGTTCTATTAATTAAAACAATGATAAAATGAGAATGGAGTGTACCTTTTTCCAAATATACCGATTTCCCTTTTGAAGTGGTGGAATATTTGAATAATTCTGCATACTGTCAATAACTTTCTTGTGAATCTTATAGTACTTTTGGAAAGAATCAGGCCATGGTTTTCGATCGAATCCAAGCAGAGACTTAGTATATTCATGGCCCATAAGACGTTTCGTATAAATTTGAATTTCATAATAGATATTTTCGTCAAAATCGATGAATAGCTCAAAATTTGCATTCATTCCGTACTTATTTCGACTGAATTTGGTCACTCTTAGTTGCGACACATTGTAATAGTTGGCTTGATGCGTTGCGTTCAATATATTCACTTGCTCTAAAATCAAGTCAATACTCTCACTCATTTGGAGCAAGAGAATTGAACAAATGAAAATGAAAAAATACATTTTCAATCGCTCTCAATGAAATAAGCTCTATGAAAGGAAGCACTATGAAGAGAATCACAATGTATCGAAATCACTGTTACATCGTACTCGAAAGAAGTTTAGTTAGATTCGAGTACAACGGTCCAGTATTTATATCATACTAGAGCAATTGAATTTTATTCCAATTTTATTAGAGAAAAATTGATAAAATCTGCAGGAAATGATTATATTGTCGAGTGCACATTGTCGATTTATGTGTAATAAAAACGGTTTCTTCAACATTTATATTGCATTCTATAAATTGATAAAAAAAAAAGATTCTGCTAGTTGTATCAACCATTTTTCATTTGTTCAGTACTCCCTCGTTTTATAAACCAATTAAGTTTTTTTTAATGCTGCAATTTTCTACTCTGCCAAACGATTGCACATTTTCCATTGCATGAACAACAAAGAACGAATGCAGAACGGATACATTGATAAACTTGTATGAGCTATTGACCTTGAATCGAATTCAGTATTCAATCATACAACGATCTCTATTTTCGCTATAGCGTGTGGATTATAAAGTCACTATGCTCTCTTGCTATATAGAGATATTCTATCGTTGCAGTGTTGATCAACAGAAAACAAAAATAGGTTGAAGCAGTTCGCTGGGTTTTTCTACTATTCCAATATTACTCAATATTTACCAACAATGGAATGCTTTGTATACTGATACATGTATTTGATTGGAACTCGGTTGGACCGAAGCGACCTCTAAAGAACCTATGGCGAGTTCGTAGTGTCCGTATGTTATACTTCAGAATGACGTTTGACAGAAAGGAGAGTTTACTTGATTGTATTGTCATTAGCCTTAGATTATCTAGGTGGTGTTTGCGCTCAATATCAGTTGTCAAATTCAAAACGAATAGGAGAGTTGATATTTACAAACAACCGATTTTATACGAGAAGATTGGAAAAAAAAGTCCAGAACAATTTGCTTTTATCAAGAAGTCACTCATCAATTTCTACGAAATGTTTTCGTTTACTTTAGCACAACTGTGGGCAGATGATAAGGTTATTTTTATAAAAATGTCTCGCATTATAGATTTCAGCTCAATTGATATTCACACATCACACAGTTTGTATCGTTTAAGTGGGAAAATTGTTTCTAAAATATTTGGTGCATTTTAAAACTTGAACAAAATGCAGCGAATCTCGCCGCTAGTGGCTTTCGTTGTACTTTCATCGACGTTAGTTTGTTGTGTCAATTGCGAAGGGTGAGTTGAGAAAAAAGTAAATTTTAAAATGAGATCAAATAATTTAGTCAGCAATTTTGAGCTTTGAATAATTCAAATCAAATACAGAAGAAAAAGAAACAGAGTGGTATGGAGCTGATATTTGGGTTCTCATCTGAGTCATTTGTGGAGAAATTCAGTGCACAACTGAGCTGTGCGGAGTTCGGCACAGATGCCATACATACGCTATATCTGAAGCAGTGCATTCATAGAAAATCCATAGTGAACAATAGAAATGTAAACACAGCAAAGAGGGCTGTTTCGCTCACACTTATAGCGTATGTACGGTATCTCCGTCGAACTCCGCTCAGCTCGAATGTGCATTGGATTTCTCCAAAAATGGTTCATCTGGGTGGTGATTAACAAAGCATAGCTGATACTTCAACCAATTTGTGAGAAACTACTAATATTTTACCGTGAATTTGGCATTGTGTTCTTTCACTTGTACTAACTGCTTTCTTACAAATACACCAAATGATCGATGTTTTTTTAAAGTTCAGTTGATTTTTATTTTTTTGAGAAAAAAATAATTTTTTCAAGGTTCAAAATTCAAAAACTCAAAAAAGCATCTCAGTTCCAATTGAAAGTTTACGATTTTACAAGAAGAAAATTAATTTCGCATGCAAACGGATGTAGTTTTTTGACTTCTGCAAATATTTTGTGGAAGTGTTTTCTATTTCCATGGAAACGACAGGGAAAATCTACAGTGGACAATTTGATCAACGAACCTTCTTGGTGTAAATTTCAACCTTACCGTAGGGTTAACACATTGATGATCGAACGAATGCCAAGTGATTCATCAATCCATACGACTGATGCGATAAGAATTTGTTGACCGCTTCTAATTTCGAACCCTTATTTCGAAGCAAGACGTTTCTTTATCAACGATTTCAATTTGAAAAACAGTTTATCAATAAAACTGAGCAAAACTGAGTGTGAAATGTGCTTGTAAATTATTTGAACGTAATTAATGGAATATTTCCATTCTCTGTACAGTTTTTACACAATCGTTGCGCCCGAACACATTCGTCCACATTTGAATTATCAAGTCTCGTTGACGCTACATAATCACGCTTCACCAGCCACCTTTCGTTTGAGCATTCAAGATGGATTGGAATACAAAAATGAAAAAGAAATTACAATCGACTCAAATCAAACGGAATTGGTAGCGTTGCAAATCGGCGACTTAGACATGTCAAAAGGTTATAAGCTCGTGGCTGAGGGAATATCTGGGCTCATTTTCAAAAAAGAAAGAACACTGAAGATTGAAACCAAAAATGTGTCGATTTTCATCCAGACCGACAAGGCAATTTATAAGCCAGGAGACTTGATCAAGTTCCGTGTTTTGGTACTCGATCGTGAGCTGAAACCAGTTACACTAACGCCAGACAACCAGCTCAGCATTCATATCACCGATCCAGAAAAGAATCGCATCAAGCAATGGCTGAAAGTGACACCGAAGAAAGGCGTTTTCACGAGTGAATTTCAACTGGCTGAATTGGCCATGTTGGGTAACTGGAAAATCGAAGCTCACGTTGGAAAAGAGAGTAAAAGCAAAGAGGTCGAAGTGGCCAAATACGTCCTACCGAATTTTGATGTTACGATTGACTCTCCGAACGATTTTTCGGCAAAAGATGGCAAATTGCGCGCTATCATTCGATCGAAATACACGTATGGGAAATTGGTGAAAGGAGAAGCGATCGTATCACTAACTCGGAGTGATTCGTATTGGAAAAATTCAGACAGTGTCTTGAAAACGATTCCCATCAATGGGAAAGGAACCGTTGAATTCAATTTGGTTGCAGTCGAATTCACAAACTATAAACGTAGTCATACCTATGAACTAAGGGCCACCGTCATCGAAGAATTAACTGATCGTAATCAAACCGCGTCGAAGACTATAACCATCCATCAAAATCGCCACAAGTTCAATCCAATTGGATTGATCAAAGAATTCAGTCAAGGATCGCCAGTGAATTTTTCGGTAAATCAAATTGAAAATTTTGTTAATTTTTGTGAATTTTTCTTCATTTCAACGATGAAACAAATCTATTCCAACTATAATATTCGAATGTTTCGTATAGATTGGTGTCAGTTATCAGGATGGTTCACCAGTTTTGATGAATGAACAGACTAAATGGATTCATATTCAAAAACGACTTGATTTTTCCTTTTATGATAATCAAGACGGTGATTACACATTTGAGTTGAATGAAAAAGGCATTGCGGATATCTCAATACCAACAGAAGCAAACGAACAATCCTTCGCTTTAGAGGTATGCATTCCCCAAAAAATGAGTTTTTTTAATTTGATCATGACCCGATTTGATTCAATAAAATAATATTTGAAATTTTTTTTTTCTTCAAATGGTTTTATCTTGCAGGTTAAATATTTAGACGAAGAAGAATATTTAGGCCACCTCTATCCTCGTAAAAGTATTGAACTATCTGAACTCGAAGCAAAGGTGGTGTCAAAACGGTAAAACTTTCAACTATGAAATGGTATTTATCAACATGTTTTGATGTTTCCTCTTATTCTGCAATTTGTCGTCAACTCTTCTATAGTCCAACGCTAAATGAGGATGTGTTCATTGAAGTGAAATCGAAGCATTTGCTACAGAATTTCACGTATCAGGTGATTGGCCGTGGCAGAATCATTTACGCCGAAACAGTTGCGGTTCCGAACCAAAATTCACTTTTATTCAACTTCAATGCCACCTTTGACATGGTTCCAAAGGCTACAGTAATCGTGTATCGCTTCAAGAACAATGAAATTGTTGCCACCAAAATCGAAGTTGCAATCAACGAGGAGATGATCAATTTCGTCAAATTGAAGCTATCTGCACAAGAGGTACAACCAGGCAAGGAAATCAATATCGATGTAATCACCAAGCCAGAATCCTACGTTGGTTTAATGGGAGTAGATCAGAGTGTGTTGCTGCTCAAGAAGAATGACGATTTCAACAAAGCGATGGCATTGCGTGCAATGGAAGAATATCAAAAAGTTCTACATGAATCCGAGAACGGTCCATGGTCTGTTACGCGGCGTCGTTACATAAATGATTATTTCAAACCTTTTGAACAGAGTAGCACAATTCTTTTCACCAATGCGAAACAAGATGAATTTGTACTACGAAGACATTTGTATGGTTACCCCAGTGGGTAGGTTTTCTTTTGAAGAAATATTCGAAAAAATATTTTCTGAAACAATTGTTTTCGCCATAAGGTTCATTCACAGATAAGCATGTTTTTGAATAAAATTCACTGTGAGTGAAACAGCGCACATCTTGGAAGTTCCCAAGTTGGAACCGCCTCGATTGCAATAAACGTAATATTTGAATTTTTCTTGAATAGATTTGTTGGAAACAAGAGTGTGATAAATGAAATATCTGACATTTTATGTGAAAAAATATGAAAAACATGTTGCATTTATTACGATCGAGGTAGTTCCAAAAATATAAACTTATATAACGATACATAAGTGTGCATGGATAAACTATCATTAATACGATTTCCTACATTCCTTAAATCAACGTGTGCTTCTCTGCCATAAGAACCAATGTATTTGACGTGACAGTGAATAGCGGTGGCGCCTAAATAGAATCTGCGGCAACTTTAGGAACTATCAATACTTCTTGTTGTTGCAAAATTCGTAACAACAACAAAAAGTATTGATAGTTCTTAAAAATGCCGCAAATTGTTAATACATCTTATTTAGGCGCCACCGCTATCTTGCGCCGGCCAAAAGCATAGGTTGCCTTAAATGTAAATTGATAAAACATGCTCTACTTTTGTAGTGACTTCTCTGGATATTGGGTAGCTCGTAGCGGGTTAGCCAACCATCTTTCATTTAACCGTGCACCGTTCAACCCAAGCGTCATGGGAATAATACCAATGAATTCAATGTTACCAACGGACAAACTACAATCGGAATCTATAACGGATGATCTTGAAGCGCCCACCGAACCGCCAAAAGTTCGTAGTGAGTTTCCAGAAACATGGCTCTGGGAGGATCTCGATGTAAACAGTCCAAATGGCACTATTACAATCACAAGAAATGTACCAGATACAATCACATCGTGGGTGATTAGTGCTTTCTCTGTCGATCAAGAGACTGGCTTGGGTTTTACCAAGAATCCCAAGACGCTGAATGTGTTCCAACCGTTTTTCATATCATTGACCCTTCCTTACTCCGTGAAACGAGGCGAAGTGGTGGCAGTTCCAGTCGTTTTATTCAATTATTTGAACACGGATCTCACCGTCGAATTGGTTGTGAGCAATGATAATGGTGACTTCGAGTTTGTGGATGATATCGAAGGCGATCATTCATCGAGAAAGCGCATCGTATCAGTTGAATCAAACTCAGGTCACTCTTCAACGTTTCTCGTTCAATTTAATTCGGTGGGACAAATTTCGCTGAAAGTAACAGCCACTTCAGCCGTAGCCGGCGATGCCATCGTTCGAATCCTGCAGGTCGATCCAGAAGGTGTTCCACAATTCGTCAACAAAGCCGTGTTCGTTGACTTACGTGAGGTGGACACATTTAATGCTAATCTAAGTGTTGATGTTCCGGAGAATGCCGTGCGTGGTTCGTTGAAAATCAATGTGAATGCAATTGGCGACCTTCTTGGCGGAGCTATTCAAAACTTGCATCAGCTCATTCGATTGCCGACTGGCTGTGGCGAGCAAAATATGTTGAATTTCGTTCCGAATATTGTCGTTTTGGACTATTTGAAAGCTGTGGGCAATCTCGATCCAGCAATCAAAGACAAAGCTATCGAATACTTATTGAGTGGATATCAACGTGAGTTGACCTATCGCCACGACAACGGTTCATTCAGTGCATTTGGAAAGAGCGATAGCAGGGGCAGTACTTGGCTGACGGCTTTCGTTGTGAAATCATTCAAACAAGCAGAAGACTACATTGACGTGGAAAGCAAAGTGATTGACGATGCTTTGAAATTTCTCTGTGATGTACAAGCGGCTGATGGAAGCTTTCCAGAATTTGGACGAGTTATACATCAAGACATGCAAGGTGGATCAAGCAAGGGAATCGCTTTGACTGCATACACAGTAATTGCTTTCTTGGAAAATAAGGTACTTTTATTTGAAGAGATCAAGGGAAAATTCTGACATTTGATAATAAAATTTATTGATTATTACAGAAATCAAACGATTGGAAATACGAAGAGACAGTTACTAAAGCGATGAACAACATTGTTTCGAATATTGAAAATATCACCGATTCATACTCACGAGCAATTGTCGCATACGCTCTTCAATTGGCTTATCATCCGATGAAAGACCAAGTGCTGGATAATTTGGTTGGCACAGCCATGGTTAAAGGTAAAAAGAGACACCTGAAACCAATGGTTCAAACCATGCAAATGATTTATTCATAAATTGATTTTCCTCTTTAGATCAACACAAGTGGTGGACAACATCGAAACCGGATGCACGACAGTCGAAATCTCTTGACGTTGAAGTCACTTCGTATGGACTGCTAGCACTTACTGGTGCGAAACGATCGACCAAAGCTCTGCCATATTTTCGATGGCTTTTGACACAACGAAATGATAAGGGCGGATTTTACGGAACCCAAGACACTGTCGTTGGATTGGAAGCACTGGCGATGTACAGTCAACTCTTGAATAGCAATGAAAATAATGTCCGGTTGAAAGTGCAAGCCAACACCATCGAAGATCGTGTGCTGGAAGTAAATGATGAAAACGGATTGTTGTTCCAAACTGTTGATTTACCATCGAATACGTCATCCGTTCAACTCTTCGCTTCTGGCCATGGATTCGCCCTATTCCAACTATCGTACCGATACAATCTAAAGAACAGTGACATTTATTCAACATTCACACTGCAACCGAGAGTGCTCGAAACCACAAGCGGTCACTTCAACATCGAAGTTTGTTCAAGGTAAAAAGCATCAAACATTTCATCTAAAATGAACTTATTTGTAGCTTCCCAATTTCAATTCAAATTTGGAATGAATTTGAATTCACAGTTTCCATCCAAAAACTGACGACGAGAAACAATCTAACATGGTGATTGTAGAAGTGTCGATGCCGAGTGGTTTTCTCGTCGAAAAGGAACGATTAAACGACCTATTGAAAAAACCACACGTCAAATTGGTGGAAACGAAGAGTGGCGGAACGGTAGCCGACATTTACTTCGATCAAATGATGCCAAACGAAGAAATGTGCCTGGAAATTCAAGGATATCGTTCGTATAAAGTGGCCGAAAATAAGCCGGTGCCTGTGCGAATCTACGATTACTACGACAGTTGTAAGTGTTCGAACGTTTAATTTGAAATGGTTAGTTTATTCTTAATGATGTCCTTTTTTCGCTTGTAGCTCGAAGCGCCCGACAGTTCTACCAAATTCAGCACTTCACCTCATGTGATATCTGCGAAGGCGACGAATGCTCGAAATCGTGCAAAAAATAATCAATCGCTTCTGAACGGATCTTCAAATGGGAATTTATTTCAAGTTTTTCTAAAAAAAAAAAAGTAAAACAAGGGTTATAAATATAAAAACAGCTTGAATAAACGATTCAATGCAAACTTGTTCGTGCATTTTCCATTGCTTCATGCTAGGAAAAAATACAGAAACAGAATACCGGCCACGTTGAAAGACTTGTGTAAGTTGTTTGAACTTAAATACAATTTAAATCGCACAACAAAGTATAACATTACTGTCGTGCATTACGTATGGATCAAACATTGTGGGGCTACAGTTTAGCTGCATCAGTCGTTCCACGTATAGTTCAATTGATTACTTCTCCTCATAACTTCCGCTGCTCTCTCGCATTCCTTTGATATGTACAACTTAATGAAATGAGATGATGTTGTGTATCACTAATATCTATCAATACAACCACGTGAATGTCTAACAACGATACGTTGTGTCATCCACTGCTTGAGAATAGAAGTGAGCAAAAATACATTTTGAAATATCAGTAGCAAATACAATGAGCTAGCACATATCATAGTCATGTAGTGTCAGTAGCATGATATTGTCATTATGTTCAGTCGTATACAGCTTTGCGACTGAAAACACGTTTGGCTGACTAAGCGATAAGCACACATTTGCTTAGTATTCAATGGTTTTTTTCATGATGTCGAATCAATTTTTCATAAGTGCCTGCCTTGTACTTCTATCGGCAGTCAGCGGATGCCATTCATTGACTCTTTTTTAATATAAAATGAATTTGGGTTTAATTTGATACTTTCTTAATAAAAACGTGTTCATATTCACTAGGTTTTCGAAAAGGTCGCGTCCCTTTTTTCAAGCAAACTAGTGCGAATATAAGTTTCGTAAAAATTTATGATTGAATAACGATTGGTTTTGTCAAAGGGATATTGCAACTTTTTTGACCAGAAAAAACGCCATCTTACGTCGTGCCCGTAAAATATTTTACTGTACATTCAGATGGTAGAGCTTGAACAAAAGTTCGACATTATGCATAAACTTGGAAAGAGCTTGATAAAATACATATATTTTATGGTCGCTGCAATACCCCTATGGGTTTTGTTCATGCAACGGTACAAATTCAAAATGCGATTGATTTTACATCATCAATTCGAATTATGGGGATGTCACGTCAGGCTTTGAAGTTGGACGCAAATGGTTCATCTTTCGTACATCATTCAAACTACGGTCGTCGGCATTGATTTGTACGAAACAAACTCAGAAAGAATTGCTGGACAAAAAACGAATTTTCAAATTTGGCAAACGAACAATCGGAGATTTCTTGGTTCATTTTCATAGGCGATAAGCCTCTTGGTTTTCATATTATTTCTTCTTCGTATACACTTCATTTGAATCATTCATCTGTGTGTTTGCCTCTGAATTGACTTCATTCCAATCTCAGTATTAATACGTTTCAACGTAATCAAAACCGATTCGTTTTATCGCAATGAACTCTGACTTATTCATGTGCCTATTTTATTAGTATTATCGCACTAATTGAAATCGCAAAATGTTTGTTTGGCAATTTATTCCAATTTGAAATTTCATTAGATTCGTGTTCCAATTGTTTATTTTTTTGCTCAATTCAATTTCGTTTTCCATAAATAATCAGTGTTGTGGTAAATGGTTGTTCATCCAATCCGTACACTGTGGCTCGGAACCGATTATCCGTTATTAAAATTTTATTGTGTAGACTAATGGCCCAGGGAGACTGGAATATAATTCATTTTGACACATCAGTTTTGAATGAAAAGACAAGAAAATATATTTCACTCACACTTGAGGCCAATACCAAATAAGTGATGTTCACTTGTGAATCGTGAAAATCAAATATAAACTCGGGTCTCTTCAGTTTTTTCACGGTCCCATATCCACTTTGAAAATGAACCAAGAAATCTCCGATTGTTCGTTTGCCAAATTTGAAAATTCGTTTTTTGTTCTGTAATTTCTTCTGAGTTTGTTCCGTACAAATCAATGCCGAGGATCGTGGTTTGAATGATCCATATCCAATGGTTAACCACATGTCTTCAAATTTAAAACCTGGTTTCCCCATAATTCGAATTGATGCTATAAAATCAGTCGCATTTTGAATTTGTACCAATGCATCGACACGACGACGTTCCAATACACTAACATCTTTTACGAATTTTATGCTCGCATTTGTTTGCTGAAAAAGAGATAGCAAAAAGTTGGATGAAATTCAATTTGTTTCATTTTTCGATTGAAATCTAATCTTTTTTTTCTCCAATTTCTACTGAATGTTCAATTCTTGAAGCTTTTTACAGGGAAACGTTCAACATTCAGTAAACAATGGTTTAATATACGAAGTTTTATCCTCACTTGAGCACCAATCACATCCAGTTGAACATAGTGAATGATTCCCATCATCCCAGCATTGGAAAATTTGTAAGCAATTACATAATTTTGTGCAATTGCTGCATTTTGGCTGAACAAATTCTCCTCGTGCAATGGGAAACCTAGTAAATATCAACACGTTTTATTAGGAAAGAATCAAATTTGAAAATCACCTTTTTTGTTTAAAGAAAAAGAAACGAGAGAAGTAAAAGTAAATAAAAACGGACGAAATAGGAACAAATGTGAGAAGAAGGAAATAAAAAACACAGTAAAACGGGAAAAGTAAGAGAAAAAAGAAAGCAAAAAACACAAATAATTAAAAAAGCAAATAAAATATTTACTTTCTTTTGTGTCATTTCCTACTCGATGGCTCAATGAATGGCATCTGCTGAATGCCAATAGAAGTACAAGGAACTGCTTCGACATCATGAAAAAACCATTGAATACTAAGCGAATGTGTGCTTATCGCTTAGTCAGCAAAACGTGTATTCAGCCGCAAAGCTGTATACAACTGAACCCAATAACACTAAATTGTGCTACTGATAATCAAAGTCATGTCGTAGCTGTATATTACAAAGTTATAACGAGTGAAAAAAAAAACAGTCACTCTGTTTTATTTAGATTCTGTTTGGTACGGTTCATTAAATTGATAAACAGCAGCAATTTTCCCTTTTATTACGCTTCTTAACATTGTAATGAATAAGAATTGTTATTAAGCCTTGTGGTGTAATAATAAGCAGCAATTAAGCTATGCTATAGTATATTTTGCAAGGGGTAAATTACTACTGAAAACCGGTTTTCAGTACTTTTCAGTACCTGCGATCGATTTTCAGTAGCGGTTCAGTTTTTTCAATACCTAGTAAATATATGACTTTTATTGCAGTTCAGTATTGTCAAAATTTCTTGACACTTGTGCTTAATGTTTGTTTTCTAGCATTCAAAATGGAAATTGAACGCATTTTATCAAAAATAAAGTCCACTGCTTTTTGGATTAGAAAAGTCTAAAGACACAATAAATAAGCTGACATCAGAAAAGAGATTTTATGTCGAAATAATATGTCTGGCAATTTTCGTCGAATGAAAATTTCTATGACATTGATGTGTGTATCATCAACTCTATGAAATGTCAAAGCATCTCTGAAATCACGAAGACTAAAACCAAACAAAACAAGAATGAATTTTTTACACAAATGTTTTTCGGCGTATTTTTATTTCCAAACTATAGTTTGGATTCAGTATACTGAATGTCGTATTTTTATAGTTTGGCACTTTTGTGGACAAATCTTTTTCAATTTTTTCCAAAATTCTACCTCAATATCAATTTTTAAACTGTATGGCGTTAATGATATAAGTCAAGTTTCATAGTTTGACGTATTCAATGCATAAACTGACACTGAAGTACTGAAAACCGGTTTTCAGTACTATTCAGTATGAAGAAAAAAATTTCAGTTGTTTTCAGTACTTTCAGTCAATTCGCCCCTTGATATTTTGACTTTACTAGATTAATCAATAATGCTCTTTACAGTTTTGCCAAACAAGCAAGGAAACTCATTTCACATGGGAGAAAGAGAGTGGTGCATTACACAATCTTGGTTGGAATAAGTGAAAATCACGCTAACTGCGCAACAGAAAGGCATTATTTGTTCTTTTTCATTTGTTCTGGAATCACATACCTTCTCCAAATAGTAAAAATAAAGAAGAAACAAAACACTTTGTAAAACGTATTCAAAATCTACTTTATTTTCAAAAATCAATGAGTAGTAGTATTACATACAATGAAAATCTATTCATTTTGAAAGAGATTCACGAAACGCAAAAGGCAAAACATAAGTTTACTTTCACAATCTCAATAGATGTTAAAATTCTGATACAATAAAATCGAGAAAAAAATCGTGCAAAAAATGTGAATAAATGCAAAATTGACTCTTCAGTCGCCAATGGGGATCATACCTCGTTCGTTAAGTCAGCAAGAGTTTCGTTAGAAGAACTGAATAAAGCACACGGTCCGGCGCACTTCCAATTTGGTAGACAATCTAAATCCATGGAGCATGCTACGTAGTGATAATCTGAAGTTCTTCCCTTTGTTGTATAGCACCATTCACCATATGAAAGAACCGCTCTGCACGATGCCCAACAATAGCCCTTGTAACATCCATACTGGATGCAGTCTGAATCGTTTATTGGACATAAAATTCAAAGGAAGTTTTAGCTCCATTAAAACTAAATTATACAATTTTGTGTTACAAAATTGCGCGATAATTCATCATCAATGGAAGAAAAACCAAAAGAATCAACTCAAAATTGTGGATGGGATCGAATTTTCTCAAATTGGTATCAAAAATTTAGTTTGGTAGTGAAAAGTTGGATGAAAATTATTTTAAAAAATTTCCATACTTAGCCTGGTTGACCAGGAACTGCATAGATCTTCATACGAACAATCGCATTTCGTGCCCGAATCTACTAATCCAATTGCCAACAATGACAAAATACAAATTTGGCCAACAACTTGCATTATTTATGTCTTCTTCCTAATTGGACTCGGACTTTGTTTTTTAATTAGAAACTGCAAAATATTGAACAAAAATCGTAAGCTTCGATTTTTCAACTTATTTTGTTGTTTTACTTACGTTACTCAACACTTGCTGTTAGTGAACGAAAAAAACAAAAGATTTCTTCAAACACAAAAATCGAAATGACGGTAGAAATCATCCAAATCATCTTATTTATAGCAAATGCGAATCACATTTTAAGCGCAATTTCTCGTTCTTATCGCAATTCTCTCTCAGAGTGCCATTTTAACCCATTTTGGCCCGCTGGTCGTTTTTCCGACCAGTGAAACGACCGTTGCTTCCCAGACTGATATCTCAGTTCCTAGGTGGTAAATTTGGTTACTTTTTTTTTTTAATTGAAGTTTGAAAGACGAACTATCCATTGGGAGTCAAAATAAAATGGAAAAAAAAATCCAAGTTTTTCAAATCGAGCTACGAAAAAATGATGTTTTTTGGACCTTTTTTCACTCAGTAGATAAGAAAATTTGGAAAATAAAATATGCAAAAGTAATGATGCAGAACTTTCATAAAAAGACCATATTTTTAGATACAATTCCTCTTCCGATATTTATTTCGTGATTTGTGTGCAGTGCACGTGCGTAAAAATGGGTGGTCGGAAATCCGACCATTGGTCCTATATGTGATCAAAAGGGGAAGAAATCAATTTTTTTTAGATACTTTTTAAAACATTGATATTTGATATGACAATCATTTGTTTAGTCATAAAACGATAAAAAATAAATAGAAATGCCTATTCTAACTTAATATTAAGTGAAAAATGAATTCATCATAAATTATTCCATTCATTTGTGGGCCTCGTAGAGTGTGGAACACTTTGCGTGTAGGTGAATGTTGCAACGTTTGCAAATCTGGTTTGTGTGTTTGTGGCAGTGCTTGCATCGACGACTTTTTCCATCTGGTGACCGTTCAATGAGATAACTTTTGACTGCGTCATTTACCAGTCCATCAGGTTCATAATCAGGATCGTCAATGTTATCATTCTCCATATCGACCTCGTCGTCACTGGCAAACTCTTTCTCGAAGGAAGTGATCAAGTGCTTGGTTATTTTGGAACGGAATTCGAGTTGAATTTCTTGCCACGCACATTGACCCGATAGCTCGCTGCTGCATTGTCATGCAAATCCACGCCGCCCATGTGTTGATTGTAAGAATTGATAAGGTGCGGCTGATGAAATGCTGCGATTCGCTTTTGCTTTCGATCATACCGTCGGGTCGTTTTCAATGGCTCAATCGTTTCAAAGTTTGTGATCATGTTGACGTCAGCGTTATCGTTCCAACGTGCCATGAGAATTTCGTTGGTCGTGTCGAATCGGTAGTCGTGATTGCCTCGAGGCAGTTCTTTGCCACTTTTCAAGTTGACATTCAGCATTCGATTTTTCCGAATCGTTCCACAGCCCAGGAAGCCACGTTCATTCATCAAACACATCAAATAATATGATAATAATAACTATCTATCATTTCTTGGAGCTCTGCCATTTTCAGGCATACTCGACGTGCCATTTTGCAAACGTTGATTCAAATTGATTTCACCTTCTATCAATAAAATGGATCTACTTCGATTCACTGACTGGGTCAAACTGATGTCATTCGAAAATGCATTCGTATTCAGCCGAGAAGAAATCAAATTGACACTCGCTATTTTTGATTGCATTGGCAAATTTCTTCGTGCGTATTCGAATTCATTCTTCAGTTCTTCATTCATATTTTTGTGAATTATGCCAGGCAACTGTGGACCAAACGCATTTTTTGATGACAAAATCATTTTTTCCATTATGGTGCATTCATTCTCCGTTTATTCATATAAATAAAAACATGATACAAATTCTTATGCTGACGATTGCAATAAAGTTTTCTCCGTTGGCCAACTGACTTAAAATCATTCAAAATGCATATTATGAATTCAAACGATTATGAAATGTGATAAAACACGTCTAAAACAACGATATTGATGGTAAAAATTAATTCTATGAATGTATTTTCATTCTTTCTTGAGGATTAAAAAAATTCAAAATTTCACCTACATTTGATTACATTAGGGACCGTTGGTCGGAAAAACGACCAGCACATTTTTGCTCATTCTGGCTAAGTGCGAAAAAAATTTATCGATCTGGGAAGTGGAAACTTCTTTTTTCGACTATATTATTCATATCTGAAAGTTTGAATCATTTTGAAAACAAAATAAGGATCGCGGTCCAAAATGGGTTAAACGTCGAAAGGCTATCTTAAGTGTTGGTCATTTCTTCCTCTTGTTCTTGAATGCATTCGATCAACTCGTTCCATTGAGCACGATTTAAATTAATGGCATGATTTGAAACACACAATTAAGCCGTTTAGAATAAGAGCGTGACTGGAGGATGAACTATTTCCAAAAGTTGAATTTATTCACCGAGAAAAATTAAACTTGAAACCATCACATACAAAAGACGGCCAATGTTGTTATATAAACATGCATTCAAAAATCGAAGATTCGCATTCGTGTACAAACATTGCGAAGTGCCTTCTTATATGTACAATTCATTAAAGTACCGCTTTGGTTAATGGCTCACCAAAGTCAGCCTCTCATTCAGATGGATCAATTGTGTGTTACAATGCAACATTGGTGCATATTACGCTACTTATTTTTGCTTATTTCATTCGCATTTCAGACAAAAAAAATCTTTCCAATTATCGGGAAAAAACAGTTACTCCGCATGCTATGATTCATAGCCAATGAATCACTCAATACACAAATATGTTTTCGTATTTTTGATAACTACTTGAACCTGATGTCTGCCCTATTTGAATTGATAAACCACCTTTTCCCTGATATTACGCTTATTATTATTATAATGACTAAGAGCCTTGTATTGTGATAAGCCGCAATTCAGCTATGCTACAGTATATGTTGGTTTACCCAGATTAATCAATAATGTTCAATGGTTTAAAGTCAAATCAGATAAACATAAATAATGAAAGAAAAAATAAAATCCATGTTTGATAGCTTTGATCGCAACGATAACCAGCAATGAATATCATACTCAATAGATGCGTACGCTGATTGAGCCAACCAATCAAATTGATATGATTAACTCTTCAAAACGATTCACCGCGATCGAATTTTGAGTAGCACCGAATAAAAACGGTGCCTCCGCCCGATTACGCTATGTTCACTGCTGGCCTCCATCGAACATGTTTCTAAAAGTTTTGAATGTTTTCATCTCGCTTTGCTTGTTACACGCTCAAGCAGTGACTTTTCGTTCAAAATCAAAAAAACCATAAATATATTACCGGATTACCAAAAGACAGGCAATGACATCTTTAAACCAACTTATTGACACATCGAATATTTCGAGCAACTTTTTTCAATCGTGTGTGGCTTGAGTTGAATATAATCAACTTTACGGCGATAGTAGCAGCTTCTCTGCACACACATCGTAGAAGAGAGTACAAAAATCATAGTATTTTGGCAAATGCGTCGAGTAACCATTGCGGAACATCAATACGTTTTGGCTAACGCGTAGTACCGGCCTACAGATAAGCTGTTAGCGTCGCCGTAAAGTTGATTATATTCTAGTAAAGCCATACACGTTTGAAAAAAGTTGCCGAAAAATACAATGATTCAATGAGTTGGAATTGAGATGGCATTGACTGCTATGTGTCAAATGACTTACATTTGAAATGTATTGTGGCTTTTTCCCTATGCAAAAAACTTGATCCAGAGCATACTCCGAGCATGTATATGGAGTTTCAATACATTATATTTGGTACAGGCGTCTAACTCCATCTACGGATTTTTCCAGTAGTTGTGAATCGAGTAGACATATAACGATTTCAACTATTTTTGGGCGAAATTATCTCGAAAATATACAAAAATGAGTTATTTGTTATGCGAACACTCAAACGGCTACCGGAAATGTACGCGCAAATACACGCACTCGAGTGTGTTTGTCATCTAGTAACCATTGCATGTCCACTGAATCAGTGCGTACATTAACAGTAGTCGTTTGAGCGTTCGCATGACAAATAACTCAATTGAGCGTTCGCATGACAAATAACTCATTTTAGCATACTTTTGAGATCATTTCGCCCAAAAATAGTTGAAACCGCAACTCAATAGAACACAGCTGCTGGAAAAATCCGTAGATGGAGTTAGACGTTTCAAATACGTCATGTTCTCGGTATGATCCAGAGTCGTATCGTTCGAGGGAAAAAACGCTAGGGGTTTCACGCAACTTAAAATTCATCTAAAATTTCAATATTTCTCTCTTTTCTCTCAAATTCTCTGGGATTCACCAAAATCCGTATTATTTCGAAATATTTCAACATTCAGCTTGAAAATTATGTTCTGGAAGTGGGTTTTGGTGGATCTTCAGGATGGATCAGACTGGGTTTGACAATGCCCTGGTCCATCCTGAGGATCCACTTCCAGAATCAGAAGCGGTTTTGAACAATCCTGAGGATCCACCAAAACCCTTTTCCAGAATTTTTAGATTCAAAAAATTCTAAAAAATTCGAGTTTATGAATAAAAAGAAGCAATATCTATAGTTTACACATAAAATGGTTTTATTTCCAGCTATCTAGTAAAATCTTCGGCCTTCGAGTTTGCGTGAAACCCCTTGAAAAAACGCTAATAGAGGACAGTTTTATTTGTTACGTGCAATTTTTTTTTCTCCAACGCGAATTCCATTCAAAAGAACACAATGATCATCTTCCTTGTATATGATTCTGTCAGAACCTTAAAATGGTATTCATTACGTCTAAAATTTTGATCATTAAATCCAAATTTATGACTTATAATTTAAATTCTCATTTAAAATTTATCAATATCTACCCAGAAAGAGCAACCTACTTCAAATTTGAAGCGAAAAACTTGAGCCATATAAGCCACTTCAGTCACAAATACTTCGTAGTCAATTAAAAATTCTTAAGATTTTAATCAAGTTTGTTCAGAGGTTCAAAATCAGAAGTCCAACTGTGATTGAATGTTTCCAATAGAGATAAATGCTTGAGTGTCGTCGATCGTAGGTTTTTTTTGACATGTCTATCTCTTATCACATTAGCGATAAACGACGTGCCACGACATCGAGACATTTCATTCAATAAATTCAACGAAATGTCGAAGAATTGATTTAGTTTCAATTTCGATAATGTCGACTTCTTTACTCGTTCTGTTGGTGATTTGCATTTTTGCCGCTGTGGCAAATGCCGGGAGTTGGCAACTGAAAAGTCGCATCGTTGGTGGATTATCGGCAGTAGAAAAGCGATTTCCATATCAAGTATCGCTTCGTATCAAAAGCAATGATATGCATTTCTGTGGAGCGTCTATCATTAAACCGACATGGATCGTAACGGCTGCACATTGCTTTTTCCAACTTCCAGAAAACACTGCCTTAATTTATGGCATTGTTAATAAGACTCATGCTTCCGAAATTGGTACTCGCATCGAATTATTGACGTTGATCATGCATCCCAAGTTTGGCGTACGTGCACCAGAGCCAGATATTGCTCTGATTCGCACGAAAGATTCGATCGTTTTCTCCGAATTTGTGCAGCCGATCAATTTACCCACTGGAGAATTCATCAAGTCAGGAATACCAGCTGTTGTATCTGGTTGGGGAATGGTTGAGGTATGGATTTTGATTTGATGTTTTACC